ACAGTTAGCGTGAAATCTTTGCATCCCTAATTATGACTTCTGCTGTGCTCAGAACACTTGGTATAACTGAATGTTTTAAATTTTGCAACAGAGTCAGCAAGACAGAATAACAGGGAATTATTTTCTCCCATTACTAGGACACAGTGGCAGAGGACCAAGTCAGTGTGGAAAACATCTACAGAACAAATCAGAAACCAAGGCTGGGCATAAGTCGACTGTAGCCAGATATTTCAATGGCTAAGCTCTCTACCAAGTTGTTCAGGGGAAGAGGTGGACTGAGAAGGTTTGCAAGCCACTTGTTTAGAATAGTAGAAAAACTATAGAGGGAAACTAAGTCCTTGGTGACTTCTTTTGAATTGCTGGTTCATCCCGAACAAAGAACAATATAGTCCAATCGTGCCTGTAAGTATGTTAGTCTGTTTCAACTGAGTTGCTGTCACTTGACATACAAAATAACCTCATAGAAATGTTTAATTACATGTCTTTTAACAAACCTAAAATAATATGAGATATAGTGAAAAAATGCTTGGGACAAACATGCAAAAGTCTTGGAATAAAATAAAACCGTGTGCTACTATGCTGGGATGGTAGGACGTTTTGATTATTTTCTTCTGTCAAAATCTTTATGTATGTATTAAAAAATTTCTTCCATTGAAGAGACAGGCATGTAAAAATATATAATTTCAAAATACATCTATTTATACACAGGATTATACTTCTTTAAGTCCACAGTAAAGAATTTTGGTTAATAAATCAATCGTAACTTATTAAATGCTGATGCCTTTACTTTCAGGAGAAAACATTAATACAACATTATTTAAATGAAAGAATACTGATGTTAATAATCTGTATAAGTACAGAAAAATTATTTAGCTTTTCTGAGCCTGTGACAACATTTAAGAAAACATGGGTGTGTTTTGTGGCCTTCAGTTCCTGCTTTAGACATTTGATCAAAGAAAATGGATTGTTCCAAACCCAAAGTCCACATTTGAAAGTAAAAGTAGAAACTGTAATGTTTAAACTCTACATCAATTATCCAAAGACACTCTCTTTGACTTCTTGATGGTCCATATTGCCTTAAAATTTGGGGAAAAATAAAAATCTATGGATCTTTTCCTAGATAGAAAAATTATGATGAAAAAAATCAATCGATTTCCATTTTGCCAAAATTCTTTATTTCATTAAATGCAGGGTAGTCCAACAATGGAAAATAGTCTACTTAAGACACATACTTAAAAAAAAATTTTTATTGATTTTTAGAGAAAGAGGAAGGAGAAGAAGAGAGAGATGGAAACATCGATGAGAGAGAACATCAACTGGCCGCCATTTTCATGCCCCCCACTGGCTCACAAACTGGGCATGTGCCCTGACCAGGAATTGAACTGGCAAACTCTTGGTGCATGGGTTGATGCTCATCCACTGTGCCACACAGGCTGGGCAAGAAATAAGGCTTGTACGTCCTGGTAAACATCAGTGATGGTCACAGTTTATCCCTATAACATTGAGTTTAGTGTGTTGGCTGCCTTATTATACCCATAAAAAACGCACAATTTATTGGTTTGGGACTTCAGAGACCATTGATTACAAAAATTATTTTTCATCTGAAGAAGCAGCTCAGTAAATCTCTGAGGAAGCTGGTTAGATTTAAACATCTGACTGCATTAGAAAAGTCTCTTTAGTTGAGTGCTCCTTGAAAAATACCATAAATTAAAGGTAATTAGGGGACAAGCATAAAGCATACTGGCAACATTATACCTTCTTCCATCAACAACATTAATCTTCAAACCATAAATGCTCCCAATGAATGATACACACATAGCTTCCTACATCCTCTTTTTACTTGAGTAAATTAATAACTTTTTGTTTTTGTGTCCACTCTATCTTTGGAATATGAAGTCAAATTTTTCATATTAATACAAAGCTTCCCAAATATATATCATGGGGTGATTTGATCTTACTAGTTCACATGTGGCAACTAATTAAGTTTAAAAGGACTCCCAAAACTTATGGTCATCCAGAACCTGAATAGGGTTCACCTGGAGGTAAGGTGAATTAACTTTTCCTTTAAACCCATATTTTCAACACATATTACTGTAGAAGCTGGTAGTTATTTTTCTCAAATAGTTCCTTTCATAAAAGGTGTGACATGCCATATTTGGCCCTGAAATGTTTCTTGAAATGTTTCAATTACTCAAATGACAAAGTCTGATAGCAATTTAAAACTTTCTTTCCAATTCAAAGCCTTCACTTCAAAGTGTTCTGGTTAAATTGAAATTTCCTTCTTACAAAATAATGCTTCCTAAGTTTTCTAGTCTAACCTACCATTGTAACTCATTCAGACTGCCTAACTGGTCTACCAGCGTCTCTCTGGTGTCTTTCCAAGAGGTTTTCTGCTTGGCAGCCAAACAGGAGTCAGATTGTGTTTTAATTTGCATCCAATTTCCACCATTTATTGACTATAAACACTATGGAATTTAACCCACTGTCGCCTCAGTTTCCCCTTCTGTAAAATTGGGATTGTAACAGCATGCACCTTAGAGGGTCTTCGACAATTGTGTTAACATATTGAGGTTTCAAAGAGTGTTTTGCATATAAGAGGTACTCAGTAAGCAGTACTAACAGTATGATCTTTATTTATTTATTTATTTTTATTTTTTAAATAATTAATTTATTTATTTTTGTTCCAGATGTTTCTCCTTTTCCCCCCACTGATTGCCCTGCTCCCTCCCCACCCTGTCCCCAGCTTTGTTGTCCATGTCCATTGTTCATATATATGTGCATATAAGTTCTGTGGTTTATCTCTCCTCCACCACCCCCTCTTCTGGGGATTGTCGGTCTGTACCCCATTTCCACGTCTCTGGGACTACCCCATTCCTCAGATTGTTATGTACATTATATTCCACAAATAACTGAGATCATATGATACTTGTCTTTCTCTGTTTGGCTTGTTTCGCTTAGAATGATACTTTCCAGGTCCCTGCATGTCATCTCAAAGGATAAGAGATCTGCCATTTGACCCAGTGCTCCCACTTCTAGGAATATACCCTAAGAAGCCTGAAACACTAATCAGAAAGAATATATGTACCTCATGCTCGTAGCAGCACTATTTATAATAGCTAAGATCTAGAAACAGCCCAAATGTCTGTCACTAGACGAATGGATAAAAAAAAGCTGTGGTACATGTACACAATGGAGTATCAGTATGATCTTGAGTGAAACAAACTTGCTCAGTGTGCCCCATAGGCCACGCCTCCACCTAGGGCAATGTCCTCAACAATGCAGCTGGGCTAGGCTTACCTCAGCCTTATTTTACTATGTGCCTGCTTTGCATATGTTTCCCTGGCATGTATCTCCATATATTTTGCCTGAAATATGGTTCTCATCTTCCTTTGCTATTACTCCATCCTTGGCTCTCAGCACAAGTATCACTTTCTTAGGCCCTCTCTCTCTGATTGAACTAGGTCTACCTCTGGGCATGGCAGCTTCATCAACTTCCTTTACCTACATTTTCAGAGAGCCAGAAATGTTGCTATTTTAATTTTGAGAAAACTATACACAGATAATTATCATTTCACTAAGTGTATAAAATATTTATGATTACATTTTAGGGAGCTGAGAGGAAAGAATGAATTACTCTGGAGACTAAATCAGGGGATAATTGAACTGGTCTTAAAAGATTAATTAGAATCTGTCTCAAAAAGGCAAAATAGGACTAGAAGCCATTGATAATCAAAGTGTTGGGCACAATTATGAGGATGCCATCACATTTAATTATTTTGAGAACTCTCCAAGTGCTATTTTCTCCACTTTATTTTTTTATTCTCACCCAAGGACATTTTCCCATTTTTTGTTCAGATAGAGTGGGAGAGAGAGAGAGAGAGAGAGAGAGAGAGAGAGAGAGAGAGAGAGAGAGAAACATCGACATGAAAGGTACACATCAAGTGGCTGCCACCTGCACAACCCAACCAGGGCTGGGGACAAACTGCAAGCAAGGTACATGCCCTTAGTTTTGTTTTGTTTTTTGTTTTGTTTTTTTAATCCTCACCCAAGGACATTTTTCCATTTTTTGTTCAGATAGAGTGGGGGGTAGAGAGAGGAAGAGAGAGAGAGAGAAATATCGACGTAAAAGGGACACATTGAGTGACTGCCACCTGCATGACCAACCAGGGCCGGGGACAAACTGCAACCGAGGTATGCACCCTTAGCGGGAACTGAATCTGGGTCTCTCTGGACCACAGGCTGATGCTCTAACTGCTGAGCCAAACTGGCCAGGCCAAGGCACGTGCCCTTAGCGGGAACCGAACCCAGGTTTCTCTGGACCGCAGGCCAACGCTCTAACCACTGAGTCAAACCAGCCAGGGCTATTTTCTCCACTTTAAATGTGACAAATATAAGGATGAAGTAATGTGCACGAGATCCAATGTACAACTAAAGACAGGGCATGGAAATAAATTTCAATCTGACTTTCCTACATTATCTATGCACTGAAGACATCCTTCCACAGGTAATGGCATGTAGGAGTGAAAGAACCAGATTCACTCAACAACACTGAGGGGGTCAGGATGTATGGAGGAAGGCTACCAGGTGTATTGGTAAGTGAGGCTGAGAAGGTAGATCAAGACTAAAGCATAAAGGGCTTCATCTGTTTCCTAATGAAAGGATTTTTTTCAAGTCAAGCAGAGGGTAGGTGTCATGTCATTTGGGCCCAACAGGGACTAAGCTCACTTTCCTCTGGTCACCCAGATGGCCATCCTCTCTCTTCTCTACTTTCTCCACTCTCTATCCCACCTTCCCAGACTCACACTTTTTTTTTTTGGTTTTACAAACTGTTTTCTTTTTAATTTTACAATGCATCATGAACATTATTTCATGCATTGGACAAAAATCTGCTACTGAAACATAGAGGGCTGCAGTTGGATAATGAGAGTGACAACTAAAGCAAAGTATTAGCATAAGGTTAAAGCCCAGGGGCTGGCAAATGCCTGCCATGGACACTACACAGAAGGAATGTCTTCAAAGCCCCTTTGTGGGGCCCTACAGCCACCCCTGAGTTCCCTTAGGCCCGTTGGGTGGAAGGGGTCCTGTAAACCTTTTTGCATCCACATACCCCCACCCCAATTTCTGTTTGGTTTTCTTCACCTCATCCTCTACCCTAGCCATCTCGTCAAATTCTCTTATCATCTCCTCATTGCTCAAATGCATATCGTGTGTGGCCTCTTTGTATTCCTTGAGGCACTGAGCCAGCCCCTTGTTGGTTTTTCTTTTGGCTTTCCTGGGTACATCATCCCCAGCTGGGCACTTTCCTGCAGTCCTTGGTTTGATGGCTGGTTTTCCTTCTTCTTTTGTCTTTTCCTTGCTACCTGGTTTTCCTTCTTTTGGCTTTCCTTCACTCTCTGGTTTTCCTTCTTTTGGCTTTCCCTGGCTCACTGGCTTTCCATCACCCACTGGCTCTCCTTCTTCCTTTGGCTCTCCTTCTTCCTTTGGCTCTCCCTCACTGTCTAGTCTTCCCTGGCTCTCTGACTTTCCCTCTATCACTGGCTTTCCCTCGTTCTCTGGCTCTTCATCCTCTAGTATTTCCTCATCTTCTGTCTTTCCCTTGTTTTCTATCTTTCCCTCATTTTCTAAGTTTTCCTTGTCTTCCAGAGTACAGGCTACTTCTGGTTTTGCAGCATTCTGAGGGTGTTCGTTTTCCACCTTTCCTTGATTCCCAGGCATTCCTTCATTTACATTGCAGAGTTTTGCCATGTTGCGATGTCCCCTCCTTTTCCTGTCCTACGGGATTCTGTACAGGTTCCTCATTTTCTAGCCTAGCCGAGTGCTGAGAACAACAGACACACAGACCTGAAAGAACCTGGAGCAACAATTAGTAGTTTGCAAATGGTTCAGGGTTCAACCACAGCGAAGGAAGGTGGGCACCCGGACTCCAGACTCACTCTTCAACTGACCTGTCTGCCACCCTCACAGATTGGCACCCTACATAAAATGACTGCAATTTCTTGGTCTCACATTGGAACTACTGTGAGAGGGAATCTGTTTGGGAGTGCTATCATTCCTTGATGCTATTTGCTATGATAGAGGGTACAGAATCATCTGGGATACACCGGAGTTAAAGGGTGGAGCTAATTTTCCAATGGAGGAGATCTAAACTAGAACAGGCATTTCAATACAGGTCAATTAAGTATGCCATCATAGGGAGCTGGAACTTGATCCTGAAAGCTATGTTTTATAGTTCCTTAAATACTACTGAACATTGATTTGTAATAGATTTATGCAAATAAACCACTTTCAACAGTCAATGTAGTATACTTTGAACCCTTGGAAGATGTGCCCTGATTAAATATTGACTATCTCTAGCTTATTTACAAGAAGCCATCTAACACAGGAATTGAGAAGTAGTATGTTTATGATCTTTTTTTTTTTTATCCTCACCTGAGGACATTTTTTTGTTCAGATAGAGTGGGAGGGAAAGAGAGGAAGAGAAAGAGAGAGAGAAACATAGACGTGAAAGGGACACATCGAGTGGCTGGCACCCGCACAACCCAACCAGGGCCGGGGACAAACTGCAACTGAGGTATGTGCCCTGAGTGGGAACTGAACCTGGGTCTCTCTGGACCACAGGCCGATGCTCTAACCGCTGAGCGAAACTGGCCAGGGCTATTTATGATCTTTTAATAGAACACATATATCAGTGGGTTGACAATTATCTGAATAAACAACGATGCACAACAAGATGATAGCAGAGAGTTATTTCTATATTTTAGACAATACATAAGCCCACAAATTACCTGAATATGTATGTAATACATACACTTCAGTTTGCAGGAAAAGATCACACTTTTTTTGTTGTTGTTATGACCAAGGGGGAAAATGGACATAATTAGTTGTTCTTCCTTGTTCTAACAATTTTACAGTCCACAGCAAGCCTTGCCACATGAACTTTGTCACAGAGCCAAAACAAGTATTTTGTTGACAGGAAAGACTCAACTTTATAAAGATACCACTTTTTTTCAAGCAAATTCAAATGTTCTTGAATAATTAAGGGAAAATTAATGGTGTGGTCTCCCCACAACTGTTTTTATATTAAACTTTGTACATCAAAATCAAAATTATTTTTATGCATGGTGGGCAGTTTCCCACCAACAATTTTCTAAATTGCCTAATAATTTTATATAGCATAATTATAAGACCCATGCTTATATATTTTTTCTTTCTCTTGCTTCCATCTGAATACAAATTAAGGGTAATCACTAGCAAGCCTTTATGATAGATGCTTACAATGTAATGATGCAACAGAGCTGTGTAAAATGAACTTAACAGGCAAACCCTTGTAATACTTTCCTTAACAATAGGGCAAACACATTCCCAGACTAAGTGATTTTCTGAATAAAAATCAGGAAATATGGGAAGCTCGAATGCTCATGAATCACTTGCATTCCTAAAACTGTGCTGAATATTATGATCCACCATACATGCAATTCAACATTTATAAACCCAGACTCTCTATGAGCATTTCCCACTGCGATGAGAAATTTTAATGTAGATTAGGCTAGTCTACAGTGCCCAGTTGTTTGGTCTGAATGCTACTGGGGAGGTCTTTTACAGATGTGTTTAATATTTATGATCAGTTGACCTACATAAAGAGATTTTCCTTGATAATGTGGGTGGGATTCAATCCGATCACTTGAAGGCCTGGAGAACAAAAACTAAGATTTCACAAAAAGAAATTTTATCTCAAGACTGTAATACACAAATCCTGCCTGAACTTTTAGCCTGCTAGCCTGCCCTGTGGATATTGGATTTGCCAGCCAAGTGTTTAAAATCATTCTCTCTCTCTCTCTCTCTCTCTCCACACACACACACACACACACACACACACACACACACACACTATTGGTTTCATTTCTCTTGAGAACTGCTACTAATATATCCACATTCTATGCCTTCCTTCCTTTAGGATTTTTAGCCATATCTATCTATTAATAACATAATATCTTTCCTTAAATTGAATTTAAAGCAATTTTCCATTTTTATTTGCCCACTGCTAAGGAACATAACTGAAAAGTCACACATTTGATGTGTTATTTTTTTTCCCTTACATCACAGTAATACACAACTATTGACATTTTAAAAGTGGTCATCCACAAAAAACTCCAAAACCATGCCAATGGTTCCTCTGCCACCCTAGAGATGTGTACCTGGACTCACTTCTCTTCTTGACTTACATTTGAATAAAACCTAAAATTTGAAATTTCTGAGCCAACAACCTACATTTAATTCCCTCTACTCATATTAACCAAACATCTGGCCAAACAATGATTAGAACCCAAAGATACAAAGAGATATAGCCTTTCTCTTATACCAAAATGTCTTTCAATTTAGTAAAGAATTAATTCCTAAATAGGTATTCACTTAGAACTCACCAGAAATGCGCAGATGGCTGAGAGCTTATGGGAGATGCCACAGTTTCCTGATCAGGGTACTGAGAATCTACAGATGAGGGAGGAATTTTCTAGGCGACGGACAGCCAAAGAGTAGAGAAGATAAATGTCAGTTGGTTTGGACCTTGCAGGTGTTGATTTCCTCACTTGATGTCTGAGCTCAACAGAGGCACAAAGACATGCCCAAGGTCACTCAGTGGGATTCATTTCAGTAATATTAATCACACTTTTATCACAGCTTCTTCAGTATCCTTTCCTCCCAAGAACAGCTTGTTTTAAATTAGGGTAGCAGAACAAAACAGACTTTAGTTGATAAAATTATTTCTTCCTTCCATCCATCATTCTCCTTCCATCTTTCCTTCTTTCTTTTCTTCACCTTCCTCCCTCTCTTCCTCTCTCTCTCTTCCTTTCTCTTCCCATTGAAAATATTGAATACCAGACAATGATTTGATCACTGGCCTGAGGACATTGAGAAGCATCTACTACCAAATCTCACTTACCCATCTCCTCTTGTGGGCATCGTTGAGCTCACCTTTATAAGGGTTAATTTCTTCTTGTCTTTCCACTTAAATCAAGTTTTGTGAGTAGTCACTGAATATATACATGTGCACATCATTTCACTCATTATTGTATTCTAACTTTAGATGATAATGACCATTTCCTAATGGCGATATTAATAATGAAGATTGCAAGAGTACACAGATATAGTCTGCAACATGAATGAACCTTCAAACATGATGGTTGACATGTGAAAGAAGCCAAACAGGAAAGGCTATATATTATATGAGCCCATTTATATGAGATGTCTGGAACAGGCAAATCCACAGAGACAGAAAGCAGAATAGTGGTTACAGGAGGCTGGAAGGAGAGGGAAATGGGTAATGGCTGTTGATGGGTATGGTTGTGTGTGTGTGTGTGTGTGTGTGTGTGTGTGTGTGTGTGTGTAGCTGATAAAAATGTTCATCATGGAATTATAGGTTGTACAGTCTTGTGAATATACTAAAACCACTGAACTGTACACTTTAAAAGGGTAAGTTTTATGCTATGTAAATTACATCTCAATAAAATAAAAATAAAGAAATAATGTTTCATCAATTCTAAAATACTATTTTTTGCATGTATTAGCATCTGGTATTAGTTTCATAATAGTTGAGATTGTTTTCTCTCTTAGTGGGACACAAAATAATATTGTGTCATAAAATTAATGCATCCTCCAGTTAATGAAATATGGTCCATTTCTGATTTTACTTCCCACTCAATACAAAGAAACTGTATGACTGAAAATACATTATTAATTGGTGGCTTTTTACATCAAAATATTTAAACCAAATCTGCTCAGTAAATAATCCATTTTTGTTTTGTAAAGGTGAAGGCTGTTGTATATTTTTAAATGGCCACAGAATCTTTACCCCTCTTGTTAGGAGCCCAGCTTTCTATTGCATCCCCTTGGGTCTGCTTTCAACAACAATGTATGAAGTCAGTGATACTGGGTGAATTCCCAGGTCTGGGCCGAGAAAGCCATGCAGCTTCCCCAGGGTTCTCCTGGGATATGTGCTCAGGGGGAAGCCAAATGCCATGTAAGAAGTCTGATTAGGCTGAAAAGGCCACATGTAGGTGTCTTGGTTGACAGCACCAGCTGAGCTACCACACGACAGCCAGCATCAACTGCCAGCACCCTGTGCAGCTGCCATGGATGTGCAGCCCAGTGAAACCTCAGAGAGTAGCACAGACTGCATCCGACTGCAAAGGTGACAGCAATTCAAGGACAGAACTGCCCACTCAGGCCCTTCCTGAGTTCAGGATTCACAAAATCATGAGCAAAACAAAACACTTGTTTCTCACACTCAGTTTTAGAGTAATTTGTTATGTAGCAATAGTTACAAGGACAAGGTCACAATGAAGAAGGTCCTATTTTCTTTGATAATGACTCATCCAGGCAGCTGGCAGCTAGCACAAACCGAGGACACATTTTTATTACATATTCCTCAGAAAAGAATGTTGACTCCTGTATTCTAACCAGTTCAGAATGTTGTTTTTCTACCCAGCTCAGCCCTTTGCTTATCCAGGCTCTGGTTCTTTCCCTTTACCCTCCTCAGTCACAACTTGATCTAATATTTTCTTAATGTAGCACAAATTTATTATTTATACATATGTTTGAAAACATGAATACATGCATTTTCTAAACCACCTTTGATTTCTTTCAACTGCTGTATGATTATATGTCACTGAAACAAATTGTAAACCTGCCATGTGCCTGATGTATAGTTAATGAAGTGTGATTTGGTGCAAATAAGAAGGAACTTATCT